AAAAACTGCATGTGTATAATAAGAGAGGAATCACTCAAAAATGTTTACATAATAGCGACCAATTTACAGAGATCTCCTAAAAGCTATATAATTCATAAATGATTTTGTTTTGTTACGATAAAGTTTGTTTTTACTCTGAACGATGTTTATTGAGTAAGGTTAATTGTATAAGCAGTTCTGGAATAAGGTTGACTATACTCTTAGCACAACAAATCCGTTAAAACTGAAATGAGAGGATTCTATTGACTGATTGCATAACATTGAAATGTTTTTAACTTAAGTCATTGAAAACGATGCTCGTTAACTGCCATTGAAATAATAAAAATAAAGAAGAACAGGTTTGTTTTGCCAAGAGTATACTGTGCAAATATATGCTGTAAACCATTAACTTCTACTGCTGGTAATCTTCACATTCTGATTATTTAATGATGTTTGGGGAAAAAAACGAAAGTCCCAGTTGCGAAAAGTTTTCTCTCACAAATTATTTAACACTTTTCAGTAATTTTATATTACCCACAATTATAACATTAGTTTTACACTACACGACACATTTAGCCAAAATAAATTTGTACCTTGATACAATATTACATTTAAGATATCATATTTTATAATTTATAGCATTTTGGGTTGCATGCTTATTAATTTTTTCATGGACTTTTCTCAAGTCCCAAATAAAATAAAACATCTCAGCTGTCATTTGTGTGGTTATCAGCTTTTGTGTTGGATTTGATTTGATCTTGCGTTAGTTTTAGTCAGTGTACAGGATGGATCTTAACACAGTATAATGATCGATTCAACTCACATTAGAACTAATCATTAAATCCACTACAGTGCAGAAAATTTTAATCGAAAAGTGATTTAAATCCTTAATTATTATCTGTTCTTTTTTTGCATTAGTGTTTTTTTTCTGTAATGACTGTAAAGGCCTTAAATCCCATGTGTTATTTAGTATATAATGTTTTTTTCATAAAATGTACATTATACATAGAAAAATAAAAAAAAGCTTTACTCAATCTACTCAGACAATTGAGAATTTACTGGCATCATGAATGCAAATTGTAAACAAACATTAACTTTTTATTAGATGTAAAAATAACCAGTAAACTTGAGTCTTTTTAACGACTTCATTTTCTCTCTGTTTTGTTACTTTATTTATTTACAAGTTTACGCTCAAATAGAAATTTATCTTTTCTATTCAGCTGTACCGGTGTGCTAAAGTTTATCTTATCTAAACACAATCCACGGATTAAATAAGATTTCCTGGATTTAGCAGTGTTCATATCATGCTCGCTGAACCTTGGTTATGCGTGCAGTGAACATGATTAGACCATGGACACTCCAGTACTGGAGGGTCTATGATTAGACCATGGATGTACTAAAAATTCTTAGTACATCCATGATTAGACTGAACGATAGAAGATGCACAGTCGGTGTCCCGATCACATAATGCAGGCATAAGTGAACGCGTCGCCAACTGACTACGCGTGGACGCTCACCTCTCGGAATTCTCCCTGTACCCTAGCCCTGAGTACAGTCCTGTAGGTTGGCCTCCTTCCGCTGATCATTCGGCCCCCACAGTCCTGAGAAGTCGCATAGACC